TTTTATACAAAAACTTCCTGACTCTGATTTTCTTTGTTTTTCTAATTCTTTTATCACTATTTGAAAACACCAGATACACTTTACACTGTCTAATAGGTGTTTTTCTGAGTAAATAAATTCTTACTGCCTAGATCGTTTTTTAAGGAAAAAGTTTTCAGGTGCCTAAACTTTCTCACAGTACTATTTGTTACACACTGATAGCAAATGTTTTTGATGTGTTTATCCTCTAAGTTCACTTAAAGGAGGAAAACCACAACAAATGATGCATATTCCAATATGACAATGAAATATGCCATAGTATATGACATATACTCATATGAACACTTCTTTTTGACTGCCAGTGGAATATATACACACACACACACACACACACACACACTATATATATATATTTGAGATGTCACAATACCACTTTTACTTTTCTTATACTGATACCAATACTGAAACTTTGAGCATCGGCTGATATTGGCTATTTATAATTTATAATGTATTTATATTGGCTATTTATAATTAAATACATTTTAATTTGAAAGATCAAGTTATATTGTTTTACTAACATACTTTAAAAAATACATTTAAAAAGAAAAAAGAATACATTATAAACAGAATAAAAATATATTTGTTTTCACACTGGGTGAGGGGGTGGGATTAAGGTAATTTCCTGGGTGGCCAAATCAAACATCCACGCTTTGAGCCTCAGTGTATAACATTTGTTCATGTGAGCATCTCTATTTGACTGCCAGTGTTATACTGTATAGACGCATACACACAAACATATACTAGAGATGGTATGATACAACTTCTTCCTTTCTAATAATGATACTGAAAGCTTGAGCATTGGCTGATGCTGATCAAATGTTTTTCCTTTAAAAACTACTCTTTTTAGCTTTAAAAAGAGCTATATTTTAACTCAAGCACTTCACTTAAGATGAGCATCTAAAAGTGCATCTAAAAAATAGACTATCATGCTTAAACTACTCAATCACTCTTCTACCCCACAGAAAGAACTACACAGTTCACAACATCAGATCACACAATTTGAGTGTGTGCTTTCAGAACAGGTTTGTTACAGAATTGCATTTATTCTTTTTTCCTTTAATATCCCTCTGGCATTTTCTACTGATATCGGCCCAGTACTGATACCTGATATATATATATATATATATATATATATATATATATATATATATATATATATATATATATCAAGAGAGAGAGAGAGAGAGGAGAGAGAGAGAGAGAGAGAGAGAGAGAGAGAGAGAAAGAAAATAGTACCGGATGAGTACAGGTGTATAGAGCAGGCCTACAATAGGAGTGACATTGATGCCCATCAGCATCTTATTGTCAATGTCCGTCAGGCCCAGACTGCCATACTTCACCTCTCTGTAGGTTTCATCGTAGTGCAGGATCAACTGCATCTGCAGAAGACCTACAGAACACAGAGCATATCAGCACACTGCAGAGCACCAGCACGTCAGAGCTACACTGCATTAACCACAACACTACTACATAAAGGTCACTAAATGGGAACCTGTATACTGAACATTCAACATTATGCTGTGCTTATGAAGTGTGCTTCATCTGTACCGTTCATGGACTAATATCTAAATACCCAAGGTGGAACTCACCCATGTAAACACTGTAGACGATCATGCCCCCAAAGCTCGCTCCCACCACGTTCTTCACCACACCCAGCCTCTTCCTCCTGTAATACTTCCTTTCCTCCTCTTCCTCATCATAGTCTGGGTGTGGCCCCAGAAACTCCTCTACCTGCCAGACAATTATTGAAGATTAGCCAATGCAGAAAAGGATCCAACCACAGAGCAGGGGTGCCCAAACTTTTTGTCTTTAGAGGGGGCTCAAGGACCAAAAAGACAAAACAGTATACAAATAAAGATGGCAGGCTGGCTTCAAAATTAAGTTCAAAATTATGTCTTTTGAAACATTACATTATAGTGTGTCACTAAAATACCAAAAAAAACAAGTTTATAAGTCATATATAGAATAAACAGAATTGTGTTCTCTCATTGGGAGAGGAGGTGGGATTATGGTAATTATGGGGGCCAAATCAAATCTTCTCATGGGCTAATTTGGGGTAGTCCTGGCTTAACAATGAGCAAAATTTCTATAATAAGATGAAATAAGAACTAATATTTTCAACCAAAATAAGCTTGACATCTTACAGTCCATGGAACTGCCTGGTGGCCTCATATCTATAATTTAAGAATAATATCATATCAGAAATATTTCTGATGTCTATAACCACCTAAAACATAGAACAGAATGAAATTACACATAAAAATGAATCAGGGATAAATATCATTTAACTGACTTGGACTAAAATCCTTTTGCTCTGAGTGACCCTACATCTCAATTACACTTATTTTATTAAAACAAATGAATGAACATTCCTTTTTGTCACTTCCAAAACAATCATAACACCACCAAAACTTTATCAAATGTTTCAGGAGTGGCAATTTTAGCTAATTTTGAGCATAACTCAAAAACAACGGCCACGTGGCTAGCAAACACAGCTTTGAATAAAAAAATAATAAAATCAAAAATCTTACTTAATTGCAGAAAATCTGTTTCAGTAGTGACAAGTCGTACAGTTGCACACTGATTTTTAGACTTTGGGACACATTTACTTCAAAACAATGGGATATAACTGCTCACCACGTGGCCATGAGGGACAGGGATGCAGCCTCACTTCCTGCTCTAAAACACAGGGGCAGGGGCTAAAAATGTCTCCGCCCACAGACTAAAACTATGTGTTCTGGTAGTGACATGAAAATGTGGGACAGCATTTTTAAAAATTAGGTTAAATTAGTTTTTTCATTTATAAATTTATCTCCTAATAAATCCAAATCTTTAAACTTTCCTTTTAAAATTAAGTATCATTTATACAAATGGGAAAGCCACCTCCCAATGGAAAATACTCTATAAATAATGATTTATTATATATTTACCTTATTTATATATAACTCCATTTCACTTTCAAAACATTCAGAAAAGCACAAATCAAACTAGGTAAATGTGACTAGTTATCCGCATTATAAATGTATTTTAGCTCTGTGTACACTGGTGAACATGTGCCTACCTGCCCTTGTATGTTGCCGTCTGGCCCTGCAGGCTGCAGACCCTCAGCTCCGTCAGCAGGGGGCGCAGCCTGCAGCTCTGCCTCTCGGTACACATTATCCTCTGTTATCACTGCTGCCATCTGCCGGCCAAACACAGAACCGCGCACCACAACGCAATTAATGTCTGCTCCATTTATGAAGACAAACGTGAACGACGTACATACAAATACACTTATAGTCAATATCCGAATATAATATGTAACAGGCAGGTTAAATTTAGCAACGTTTAATTAAGCACACAATAACAATAATAAAGGCGTTTACATGAGTTGGAGAATCGTAACGTCAGTATGTTTGCAAAGACTCAGACTAGCATCACTGTTTATACAGTAAATACAGAAAACCTTTTATGAATATGACACATAACCGTTTATTATACGCCTAGACACGTCACTGCTCTCCCTGCTGAAAGCAAAAAAATCATAGAAACCATTAAAAGTTTCTCTGGGTTCCTGGTAGGAAACTTGGTCTCTAATGGCAACTTGGAATTTTCATTAAAAAGCAAAACCATCAAGTCAAATCCTAAAGGTTCAGTCTTTTTTCAGCAGGGCGAAGATTAATATAAATTCGTTTTTAATCTAAATCTACTTGCTAATGTTAACAGACCCTTCTTACCGTCTAGTTTTGGTGGGATTTCTCTTGGTACTGATTATGTCTCGGTGGGGTTTACCGTGCAGACCCTCCTGCAGTCACTGACTAAACATAAAACAAACACGTGTTGCTAAACCCACCTGGACTCCGATCCACTGACGACGCGGCCGAGACTATGAGCGAGCAGAGCCACAGGAGCGGTTCATGCATTGAGTATGTGGCTGCTGAGGGGTGAAGTGAGCTTGTTCGTGCTGAGCTGCATGACTTCTGATCAACACTGAGACCGAATTAAACACGCGAAGAGGAAGCGAAAGTTGCTCCCTTTCACTTCCCTGTTCTGGCGAGCTGTTAAAGCTGCAGTGTCCCTGTACTGAGGAACAAGAGCCAGCTGGGAGGGCCCAAACCGCACTCAGGCGTAAGTAAATAATGACTCAGGAAGCAAGAGCAGCCATCAAAAAACAACCTGAATACGGGTCTTTAAAAGTCATCAGGTCTAAAAAAAAACCCTCCTCCAGTGAGAACCTCAGTAACACTTCATTTGGAGGTTATGTAAGTGTATTCGAAATGGATGAATTCTGCTCTACTATACTGTATACTGCACGTTACTGTTCATACCCTTTATGGCCAAAAGTATGTGGACATCCCTCATAATTATTGAGCGTAATAAGTGTTCAGCCACACCCATTGCTAACAGCTGTATAAAATCAAGCAAATAGCCTCGTAACTTTCATAGACAAACATTAGCAGTACAGTGGGTCATGCTGAAGAGCTCAGTGACTTTAAGCATAGCCCTGTCATATAGGATGCCACCTTTGCCAGAAGTCAGTTTGTGAAACTTCTGTCCAGCTAGATCTGCGATAGTCCATTATCTTATATCTAATGCACATGAGAAAGAAATTTGAGTTTAGGTAGCTGCTTATGTGGATGTCAGTGTCTCTTTGAAGGGGAACATAATGTCAGTGATATGTTCTGGAACAGCTTTTGTTGGAGGACACAGCTATAACTCATTAATCTCAGTTGTAATGACTCAGTTAAAGTGTCAGTGGGGTACACAAAAGAGTGGACAAATTAAACACAGTTATATTTCACTGTTAAGGCTTCTGTGTCATTTTCTGTTAAATACATGTTTCTTGTTCTTTTTCTCACAGCAAAAAATGAATAAAGTACACTTAACAGCCATTTTTACTGGAAATTGAATAAATGAAAGGATGGTCTCTGACTTTTGCACAGCACTGTCGCTATAAAGTAACATCATGCAATCACAAAAACTGTACACAGTAGAACAGATTTAATTACGTTGTTAAGCTGTGCAACAAAGGTGTTTTCCAGAATGACATGAATACAACAAAACTTTGCACAATGTTTGAACAGTTTGTCAGTATGCACATTTTGAGTAAACAAAATATAAAAAGACAAACAAATAAAAAGTCCAGCTGACTAGCAATGGAAAAACCAGTCAAAGACAACATCTATCCCCCATATGGAACATGGCCCACACACATCTTGGCTTCTAGACAAAACATGAAACCTAATTTTTAAGTATGAACATCAACAATAATGTCACAACTTTTCCAATCTACCACATTCAAAAAAGACTGCCTTCTGTGTAATTAATGGAATGCAGTCTTTTTTGGGCCCCGTAACGACTCCAATATCAGTCAAATACATCAGGTTCCACCACCTCTTCAAGTTCTGCAGAGAGATTTAACGCAATACTGATGAGGTGCAGCGGCAAAGTCTTCACATATCCATAATCATACTCCGTTCCCCTGCTTGGATGCCATAATAACCCACTTTTTCCCCCCAGGCCCAAAACCAGTCTACCCCAAGCCCTTTGCTGCTCTTTAGGAGTCCATTTGGGGTTTATCCAGTCCCGGCTGCTGCTTTCCTCATCATCTCCTCGTCCTGTACTGAGAGCTCAGTGAGTTTGCGGCCCAGTCTCTCATGCAAGTCCAGGTACTTGGCTACACAGCGGTCCAGACACACCGCCTCACCTTTTGACAGTTCTGCTTCCTTGTAGTGAGGGGGAACACATTTTCTGTGACAGGCATTTGTCATGCTGTAGAAGGAAGAGAAAAAATGCTTACACACACACAGTCTCTCAACTGCATAAAACCCATTAACTGTACTAATTGCTCATTGCAAATCAGCAGTATTAATTTACATTGATCAGTTCACTACCACAACTAACAATAGTAACAATAAAGATTTCTAAATCAAAACACTAGTGAACAATAGTGAACAAGGACAGTGTTCTTGGTGCAAAACCCTCCTTAAATGAAGCATCAAAAGCTACATGACTGCCAATGGCGCCCCCTTGTGCAAGAATTTTAAGCCTGCTAAAGGTGAGCAAGTGAATGAGAAACAAGCCAGTTCCATGGAGTACTTCACTTTTAAAAATATTTCGGATATTAATTACTCGGAGTACACCAGCAGTGTCTGACTGCACACCTGGGGCACAGAAGTGAGTTTGGGCAGATCCACTGTCTGAGGCACTGGAAAAGGCCACTGCAGCACTATAGATCACAATAAAGCCATAAAATATGCAGTGGCTGACTGTGTTTGAATGTAAAGAGGAAAAGGTGTGTAAGTCACATAGGCACAAATTTAACGTCTTGTGATCCTCTATTACCTGAGATGACATAAAGGGGAGTTCCACCATTTTTTGAAAATTTCTGCATAGTTACACATTAAGATGTAAACAAAGTCATTCGGAGGGCTGATGTGAAATGGTTCATTCCAGAGAAACTTAAGAGTTCACAGTGGAAACAGATGTCTGAAGACTTTAATGCCTTTAAAAGCTACTTCACAAAAAGTTATTACATTAAATGGTTATGAATACACTGCCTGATGCTTGAGACATTGTTTTATGATAGTTTTGAACCTTGAAAATTTTAAATTATTTTATTTTTTATTTTTTTATACATTCATGGCAGAGAGGTACCTGCAGGCTGTCATAAAGCAAAATAGAAGCCATTTTTTTCAGTGGTAAAGCTTAAAAAAACAAGTTCCATCAACATTACATATAAAATTTAGAATATCTGTGTAGATTTACAGGTCATTTTAAATGGTCAATAAAATGGCTATATTTGCATTGTAGGCATCATGACTCCTGGTTCCTATCACCACCACTGTAAAGAAATCTGGGTCGGTGAGTCTTTCACATTAAACCACTCTGAATGACTTTGGTTACGTCTCATCTTACGACTAATTTATGCAGAAAATTTGAAAACTAGGTGAGACTCCCCTTTAACTGCAGTGCAAATACTTTTTTTTTTAAACCAGGAAGGCATAAATCATAGTGCTATCACTGTGTAAACAGTGCTGTCCCGCCTGTGTGCCCAGAAACCAGACAGCATAAGTGGAAATGGCTGTGTATGGTTGACTCAAAAGGATACCTCAAATAAACAGGCAGATGTCTCAATAAAAGAACTATATGAATGACTTTAACACTGAGCATTCCTGAATCCTATACATCTACGTTTACCTACATTACCGTATTCACTAGTTAATTTGTAATTTAGTTAAATATCAAAGTGACAGGAAAAAGGGAAAAAAGGCACAGGGACATCTAGTAGCACACCTCACAGGCCACTACAGGACAGGATATGACAGGCTTCATGCTCCAGCTCTATGTTCAGACCCTTAATCAAGACCCTACCCTACATGATTAGCTGCTACACTAGGGTGGCACTGAGAAACCATCTCCACTCAGCACTGATGTTTCTGGGCCAATGTTTTTGAGCACATAGTGATGAAGACGTCTAAGAAGTGAATTAAATCTTCTAGTGGTACAATGGGACAGAGTACTGCTGCATGAGCTGCAGCATTTTGTCTGTTTAGATGTTCTACATAAAATATGTGCTGAGATGAAACCTATTTCTACTACATCTAGAGCATGTGCGCCAGTAATAGCCCCTAAAGTCCCCCTGTTGCAATATGGGGAATGTAGACACACTTAAGGTGGAACAAGTAGTGACCTTGACGCTGTTTCTAATCCTTTGGCTGCACAGATTGCATTTTACAATTAGCAAGTAATTACAGGTGCGCCTCCTACAGTTACCTTAATCACAGGAAGAGCTCGTTACCTGGCTGTAACTGACAATGACTGCAGGAGTCTTTCAGCTTCCAGCCAGTAATAAGACTGTTACATGTCTTTAACGCAGAACATGCTACACAGTCTACAGAGAAAAGCAGTGAGTGTCTGTCAGTCGGACACTGCTGGGCCGAACGGTCGAACAACTGATCGTATGTGCTCAGCTAATTAAACGGAATGTGCTGTCCAGCTCAGGGTGGTCCAGTAGTAACATTAGCTAGACAGTAAGACCAGAACAGCAGGGCGTCATTTTATGTAAAATTATCTGTACGGATTCAGTGAAAAGGTCAGGAAATGTTCTCAAGACTAGTTCAAAGAAGTGCTCCGATGGAGCTGGACAGCAGCCCTCTGAGGACAGTGGCCAAAGGCTCTGTTAGCGAGCTAAGCTAGTCGACGGCTTTCCACGTTACCGGTTGTACATGTCTGCCATCATCTCCACCTCCAGCTCCGCCGCCAGCTGCTGTGCTTTCATGGGGTCCATGTCGGCCGCCTTTCGTCTTCAGTTTCTCCCCCACCGTGAGCTCCGTTTAACTGAAGACCAGCGGCTGCGCTTACGGTTTAACCTTCAGTACCGGAGAGCAGCACACGTGGGTCGCCCAGCTCTCATACTACTTCCGGTGACAACATGGCTCCTACTGCTGTTCGACTCTAGAAACGAGGGAGTCGAGTCCGAGTCCGAGTGATGTGAATCAACTGAGTCGATTCCACGCGATTTTTCGATTCCAAAAATCAAAACACCAGGAAGTAGATAAACGAGATCTTTGCATATTAATTTCATGTATTACCGCCTCCAGGGGCGGCAGGGTTTGGACTCGGCAAAGATACAAGCTTAAAAAAAGATGGTTCTTTAGTAAGGAAAATGGTTCTGTATCTGAACAATGAACACTCAAAGAACCATTTTTTGATAAAGGATTAAATGGTTTTTTGCGTCGTGAAATGGTTCTTCAAATCGATGGAGAATGTGCTGTAGATGGCTCTATATAGAACCTCTTTAAAAGGGTTCTTCTATTGTAACAAACTTGATATAACCCTTTTTGGTGCTATAAAGAACCATCTACAGCACAATTATCTGAAGAACCCTTTTACTTTTTTACTTTTATTTAATCATGCAAAGGGTTCTTTGAGTGTTCATGGTTTTATACAGAACCATTTTCTTCACTAAAGAACCCTTGAAGAACCACCTTTTTTAAGAGTGCAGATAACCGACTAGGGCCCAAATGAGACAAGCGCCACATTAAAATACAAATTAGACACACTGTATTTTCACTCTTCAGTCCATACAGCGCATATATGATATTAAGCCGCTTAAACAGGCCGTTTTGAACTGCATTGTTTTGTTATGAATTAAAAACCAAACGTATATTCACATATCCGCCTATTCGGACTGCAGCAGTTTAGCCCCGCCCATTCAGAACTGAAGTGTTTTTTTTTAATTAAACTCACACAGGACAGCCATTCAGGACAGAGCTTATTTACATAAACCAGTCTTAAAGGCACAGCAACACATCTGCCTTTTTTCATCATGAGGGATAAAGACAGGGTGGAAAATGGTCATATAAAAAAGAATTTGGTACATAAAATCACACAGACCATCATTTTCACCTCGGTGACAAAAATGAGAAATATTAGATTGGGTAACTAGATTTAAGACAATTTCACTAGTGATATCACTTTTTTGCCATGTAGACCGTTGCTTCACGAGGGATCTCAGAGCCCACTAATTTAGCAATGGTCATCCAGGGGGCTCACTCTTATCACTAAATCCTCTCCTAACCACCTCAGCTGTTCTTCAGGGATACAGAATGTCATCTTCTAAATTAAATGGCCCATTAACGTTAGACGTTAACAAGGTAGTTTGGGGAGCTAATAGTCGCTAAATTAACTATATAAAAACTGTACCCGATTTTCCTGCCTAGTTCAGCCGTAGAAGTCCCAGTACTGGTGAAATTGACTGTAAGCCACTTTCTGTTACAATTTGTTTTCCACTTTGCCCACAGCAAAATGCAGCCAATCAAGGACACAATTTTTGAGATTGAAACTGTCCAGTCACAGCAGAACACCGTCCACTCCGTGTGTGCAGATCACTTCTGCGTAGAATCTTTGTTCAAAGCTTTAGAGTCGACTCTGAATTCCCAAATGCCTGGAGTAGGAGAATCGATTCTTCTTGGGATCGACTCCAAGCCCTAATGGCTCACGCTGTTCTACTGCAATGTCCACTTTGAGCCGAGTGGTGTCATTATTGAGCATGAAGTTTATTGAAGGTTTTTTAAATTGTGTTTCTAAATATGCCCTCATTCAAAATTATATCAAATATATTTTTCCAAACATTATGTAGGCTTTTCTTAAATGGCATCAAACAGAGAAATGAAAAACAAAGTACAGTTACAGTGATTTTGTAACTCAGAAATATACCAATCTAACCAACAATGCCAACTTTTAACTGCATAAAAATAAGTTTTTGAATATACACAGAGTCACAAACAACAATAAAATAACAATAACAACAAAAATTTCCAGTAGGTATGCAACAAATTGATTAACTCATTAACTCATAAAATCTCAAAGATTTGCCTTGGACTCTCAATTTTTTTGTGTAAGGAGAAGAGACTCAGCTTTTCACTTAAGAAGAGTTCAGTTTGTGTCCTCTCCAGTTACATCAACTTCTTCCTCCTCCAAGTCATCTTCCTCCTCCGTCAGAACAGTGATGCTTTCTCGAACTGATGAAGAATGTGGCAAAATACCAGGAGAACTCAAGAGATCATCCACAAATACCTCCTCGTCTTCATCACAACCCTGGGCCTCATTCTCAATGTTCACTCCAACTGAAATCGTTGCTGTGAGATCCATGGTGTTGAATATGGTGCTGGTGAGATCAGTCTGCTCAGGCTTTTCTTCAAGCTTGACAGAAAGTGTTTCTTTGGCTGTGATTGCTGGTGAATCTGTATGGGAAATTATCACAATTAATGGTCTGGATGATATTCAATATAAGAACAATTTAATAATTCCAGTTCATCTTTGAAGTTCATAGTTTTTTCTAAGATTGCTAAGTTTTGCTGTCCACTGAAACGTAGCAGCAGCATTATCAACATGTTTGAAGCTCCGGGTTTCTTTTCTGATGTTTGATAAGATTTCTTGTCCACAGCCAGCAGTGAGCCAAGAGTTTGTGACAAAAGCTTTGTCAAAATAGGAATTTCCACCCCCCTCAGATGTAGTAGGTATCTGATGTTTTCCTCCAAAGACAAAACAGCATTCAATCATCTCTTACCACAGCTGCATTCCTCAAACCTGAGTAGGTCACAGTGTATGTTACTCAAGACTTCACTGAACTGTGAAACTGTGCCCAAGTGAAACCTTAAAATCATACTGTTTATTTTTTTATAAATGTTTGGAGTTAGCCTAGAAGAAATTAAAACATTGTCCTTATCAAATAAATAATCCTGTTTCCTCCCTCTGAATTGTATATACACTTAACCTTAAGAACAGGCCTATATGTTATAGATAAGCAGTCAGTCACAGGCAGGATGTACTTCAAATGTCCCCACCGAGGTTACAGTTCATGTAAATGGTTTTCATGTCCAGTATTTACATACAAAATTACAAACAATCATCCAGTTAGGAGTAGCTCTGTGGTCATTCATGAAAGAGACTAATAGAAACTGAAACTAGTTATCAGCCAACCGTGAGTGTTGAAGTTAATATGGCAGTACACTGTCCAGTCCAGATGAAGTAAATCTGATCTAGGCCTGTCACAATCATGAAATGATTGACTGATGACTGATAACTGATCGTTATATGAATAATTGCCGTTACTGATATACTTGTCTATTTTGTTCATTTTATGCAACTATTTAACTACAAGTCCATAGAAGCTAAATAGGCTGATTAACTATGCTGCTTCTTGCTCTGTAATTCGCACAAAGAGACAATACACTGCACTGTAGTGTGCGTAACAAGCATCTACACTTACAGCTTACATGTTTCTACTGAGACGCTAAAAGTGTGAGTGAAAGGAAACATTAGTTTTGCATGTATACATGTTAAAATTAGCATTAGCTATTCTAGCTGTCAAATTAACATATATTCTCCTAAACGAGTTATAGCACATAGTTAAGAGTTAGAACTCTAAGTACGAACTAGACAACTTAAAAATTTCATTCATTACTTATTTATCTTGCTCAAGCCAACTGATTAACTCAACCGACGATGATACAATATGATCTGATATGCAATCTAAAGACTGGAAAATAATTGTGGTTAGCTTAATTAACTGTGATAATCTCCAATAATTGTATGATTACATAATAAATGTAACTAACAAATGGCAGGCCTTACCTGATCTAAGACCCTGTTCGTTCCTGACATTAACATCCGTCTTGAGTGATCTCATCACAACTGTGCAGTGAGACATAAAGCCACTTACTCATGGCATTTCCATTCATCTGGAAGGATACTCCAGTGACTTGACTGGATTTTGTGTCTGAAGGAAGGGCACTGCCCACGTTTACTACATCAGCGTCTCCCTTCATGTCTACTCAGACACAAATGTTTAGATCGCCTGGACTGCTAAGACAATTTATAAACAATCAGAACTACCCAGAAACTAGGAACAATTATAACTATGCAGAAAGATAAAGAAGCTTTGCAGCTGTTTGTTGTTGTAGAGAATGCATTCATATTACCAATGTTATGTGGCCACCTCCGAAAGTGGTTTGAGTGATCACAACGCGTCTCTGAGACACACTGGACCCTTGTAACTTAGTGCTGTCCACCTGTGATCAGATCACCCAGGATGCATGATAATGCCAGGTGTAAGACTTTTCAGTAGCAAATGTCACTTAACGTTAGGGGTGCGGGAAAAAAATAGATTCTTAGATGCATCGTGATGCGGATGTGAATGATTCTGAATCGATTCAGAAATGTCAAAAATCGATTTTCTAAATATTTAATTTATAACGTAATGTTGACGGAACGCAAAAGGCGGAACTTGGAAGTGCGGAAGTGCGGAAGTGCAGCGCCCGGACAGTCTGTGGCGGCACATAACAAAAACACATGGATGAGTGAGAAATCCGAGCGGCTCCCTCTGCATTAAAAGCCAGGTTAGATCAGGAGTCACAATGCAAATGTTAAGAAGAGCCATTTTGTCCTTTCAACAAAAATCAAACCACCTTGGGAGCCACAACATTTAATGTCCAGTGTGTCTCAGTATGTGTTAATGTCCTAGTTTAGGCTAAACAATATAAACGAAAACGCGGACTTGCTCTGCTCTGCTTTAAGCTTTAGCTATAGCCGCTTTCCTCCCATCTCCATCTTCCTCCATCCCAACCTCAAACTTTTCCTCAGAAGTTGATCAGTTAAATGTCTCTCAGCGTTCGACTGTTTTACGAGGCTGAAGTCGCTTTTCATTCTCCAGCTTCTTCGAATTTACCCGTTCCACCTTAAATTCCAACTGAGGCGCCGAATGTAAATGCGGCACCATTTAAGGTGGAACGGGAGAATTCGAAAGAGAAGTGACTTCAGCTTCGCCACTTTTTTAGTGTCTGATAGTCTCTCATTGCAGATTTACGTACCAGGAAACCAACTGCGCTGCTTATAAATGCGAATAACGTATCGTTGCTGTGTGACCTGCAGTCTGCACGCCGGTTCTCAGTCGTTGCGAAACGGGGCTTTCGCGCTATGTTGCACACGTCCCGTCTCAAAGACATTTTACTGACACAGCAATCCCCCCCGTCTCTACAACGAGACCAAAACCGAAGTTATAAAATCACTAAACAAAACGGGTAGAATAGCTGTGACATGTGCTGCGTGGACATCCACTGACACTGGATCTTATTTCACCGTAACTGCGCATTTTATCGCAGATTAGTAGCAGCAGCTTCTCGTGCTCCAAACAAGAGCACTGAATGAGAGCCTTCTAGTTCACTTGCCACATCACCTTCCATTTGATTTATTAAAAAAGATATTAGAAGTAAATTCATCTTGGATCATTACAAATACTTTGCTTTAAAAGTACCAAGTCACTTTAAATAACAACACAGTCAGTCACTTTAAAATGTAAATTGTCTCTATATTCTGTGTATATTTTGTGTATATTTAATATATTTCCATTGTTTTTTCTTGTATTTTTATTTACTTACTGTAGAGTGATTACCTGAGCCTCACCACAAGCATTTCAATGCATAAATGTCCTGACATGTTGTGCAAATGACAAATAAACTTGAAACTTGAACTCGAAACTTGAGCTCACACAGTGAGAAAATATAAATGCTACATAGAAAAAAAAAGATGCATCGAGATGCATCGCCAATCGTTTTATAATCGCATCGCAGCCCTCTGAATCGTAATCGAATCGTGAGGTGCCTAGAGATTCCCACCCCTACTTAACGTGCATTTAAAATTCACTTTGCAATGTTACCTTCATCTGATGACATGATTTCAATGTCGCTCCTTAGAAGCTGCGGTTCACCTGGTTCCTCCTCATAAGCACCAGACTCTCCATTAGTCATGTCAAAACTAGACAGGCTTTCTTCCACATCAGTCTTTTCAGCAGTAAAGCCAGAAGTACCTGCCTGCTCTACATGACCTGCAGCAAGTGGAGCACTTTCTTCTATTATTTCTACCTCAACATCATTTATCTCAGCTCCATGTGGTTTATCATTCTTTGAGGGGATTTCCACCATATGAACTGCTTCCATTTCTGCATTCCCTTTCACTTTCTCATTGTTCCAAACATGGTTAGCTTCTGGGTGAACAACATGGGTGTTTGCACTTTCTTTATGATGGAAACCTTCAGTCCTGTCCAATGTCACCTCTATACTTTCAGATATTTTGGCTGATGTACTTCGAGGGTCACGATCCATGTCATAGTTACTGCCAAAGTTGCATGCCAAAGGAACAGTACACAAATGAGACTTGTGACTGGATAAGTCAGGGTGAATGGAAGCAATGCCAGCGTCTGATATTTTATCTGCTTGGTTTCTACCCATTTCTGTTTGTGAGTTTTCATCAGTCAAGCCATTTCCATTTTTAGATGACATGCTCAAGTGATCACTGTTGAAGGTGTTTTTCGAATCCACATTTTTGTCTTTACTTTTGTCTGTAACTTCCCCTGCTTTATAATTCACTTCCACTCTTGTCTCCATTTTGCCTTTTCCAGCTGACTCTTTCTCTTCCCGTTCATTGTCGACAATCACCAACTTTTTTCCCCTCATGTGATCTTGGTCAGTGAGCTTTCTAAACTTCTTAATGATGTCAGGTAGTGGTGGACCAGTGATCATTTTCCTTTTAGCCTTCCGAGAGTTACCCGTGTTCAATAAACTTGCACTTAGTTTCTGACCAATGGGTGGAAAATGCCCAGTGACACTGGTTCCAAAACTAAAAATGGTCTGGTGGAAAACCTGATCAACAATGCTTGGTTTTGTAGCTTGTCTAGCATTCTCATTGGGTGGTTTGGTTTCTTCCTTGTTCAAGTTCATATCAGCAATCACTTCCTCAAACTCTACTGAGGCATTTTGCATTTCAGTTCCTTGCGCTTTATTTTCTTCACACCCACTGGTCATCTTGCTTTCTGCCTTCTGCAAATCTTGGTGCTCAGCGTAAGTGGAAGCTGTAAAACTTGCACATTGTTCATGAAAATCATTTGAATTGCTCACCGTTTGTGTAAGGACTAAAGCCTGTTTCTTTTCTTTGGTGGGCCTCCCACGCCTACGTTTTGCTACAAGACAAACAACTTGTTCTTTATCCTTTACCAGATCATGTCCTTCATTCTGTACACATCCACTGTTTGTTTTGCTCCATTTTGAAAGCAATTCATCTTTGCCAGCACAGGTGGAAGCTCTAATATCTGCAGATAAGCTGTTCAATGTCTTTTCCTTGCTCAGGTCTGCAACATGATTTCTTTTTTTAGGGGGTCTTCCACGTCCACGTTTTGCCACAGAAAGAGCAGGTTTTGTTTTATCCATGTCGTTGGTGCATTTATCTTGATCCTTACTCTTGATTGATTCATTTGTCTGAAATTCTGTAAACTTATTCTTGGATTTCTGATCCTTTGATACACGGCTGACAGTGTTGCCAGCCCTCAGCCAATATATTTTCCTAGAGCAAGGGTAATCGCTGAGTTGTGTGGTACTGATGTCTTCAACAGCCTCTTCATTTGCACTGCTAGGTGTCATGATCTTAACTGTTTGTGTATCAATTCCTTCTGAATCACTATCAGACAGCTTACATTTTTTCGTATTTGCCTCATTGATCATAGCCCCAACTCTGTGCCTTTTTGTAGATATATTCTTGACTTCTGACTCTCCTATCTGCCTGTCCAGTTCATTGTCTTTTGACTCTCCAAACATCTGATTTTCAAGACTCTGGGTTTGTCTCATCACCTGTCCTAATATGCCCTCACTGGTCTCTTCCATGTGATCTTTAACGGACCTTGAACTGCATGAGCCTAGCTCTAAACTATGACTAGACAAAGATGACTTCTGCATTACATAAAGATGAGTATTTGTTTGGTTCTGCTGGCCAGTTTTGCCTGGAAGTGACTGTGGCTGGCGAGAAGAAATCTTGCACTTCAAAGCTGGTTTCAAAGTGACAGATGATGCAGAAAGTGATGAAGACACAGTCACTGGGCTAAGACATTCCTGGGTAAAGCTATCAGTCTCTCCCTCTTCTGACACAAGAGGTGAAAGACATCTTGGGAGTCTCATCTCATTTAAATCTGTCCCATCAGCAGAACCAGTGACCTTATGTGTTATATGAGGTAAATGATCTGGAAGAACTTTAGGATCTCTCCAAATTACAGCTTCAGGACATTGTTTTCCTGCTGCTGAACTGGCTGTGTCACTGGCAGTTTGTAGGAGTGTGCTCACTCTATCTGGAGCATCTTGTGCTGCATTGCTTGTGGCTCCTGAAGTTTGTAAATTCCAATGATGACCTTCACTGGTCTCGCTTTTAGTTTGTTTCACTGACTGCACAAAATTATCTGCAGTCCAAAAGAGATTATCCAACACATGTTTCAACTCGCCTACATTTTGGTGTGGCATCTCAATACCTCCAGTACCAAAAGGAGGACTGGATAGTAGCACTTTTTCTGGCGCAGTACATGGCAATATGAAAGATGGATCAACATCTTTCTGGGGTGCAGCACACGGAGAAGTAATAGCAAGTAATGATGGGTGACTTGCAGTTGATGCCACATTCTTGAGCTCCGTTGTTTTTGATTGGCTCTCACACCCAGGACTCTCAGGCCCTACACAACAGGAATGATGGTCACAAGTAAGCACAGAAATAGTTCTATTATGTTCTGTTAGGGCTCATAAATGAGGGGCAGAGCAGTTATGTTTATGTAATATAATTTACCAAAGTGCCATACTCTGATTTCAGTTTGAATAAGGAGCTGGGGAAATTAAGATACACCAGCAGTGAGAAATATTTGTTCTGAAATCTATCTGAAATCTCATCATAGCCAGATAATTAAGGGCTGCAGATTACCTGGCTCAAATGTTTTAGTAATTGGTTAAGTGAGCACTAGCTCTGAGGACTGAACTTAGAACCTTAAACAAATCAGCCTGGTTGACAATTCCTATTGCATATTTTATCTCCAATATTTTATACTGTGTAATAAAAAGCAATTGCCCATGACTGAAATATCTGTGTGTAACAAGTCAACTTTATTGCGTTCTACATGACAATTGCATTCTTTTTTTTTATTTTTAAAATTATTGTTTATTTCCCCCTAAATCACATTACTAACCAGGGAAACACTGAAGCTGTAATTGGGAGAGCAATAACTTTGTGACACTAAAACATGCAGAAAGGGCAACCATATTTACCTTTAGACAGCATTACACAATTACTCAAAACACAAACAGTGATCTTTGCAGGAAGTTACAAGCAGTACACCAAGACACAGTGTATGTAGCATGGTATTTACCTGCTTTTCTTTGTATACAGGAACCCATTAAAGGTGGCATCTTGCTAACATCAGGATCCCCAGGGCCTAGGTTATTTCCATGCAAACAAAAGCAGGGAGCAGAAGCAGTATCAACAGTGTCACACTGTCCCGTTTCCAGGTCCAGGTGTGGTTCAGGTGATGCATGTTTCTCATTCTGATGATGCAAGCTGCTGTTTCTATCCATCGGCACTGATGGCAAGATATTTAGACCCATCATAACCATATCCTCCAACAGCCTTGCAATATGCTCATCAGACTCTTCGGCTTGGAGTGCGCCTGGTGATGCAGGTGGCATTTGTATATGGGAGGAGTGAGGAACTGTTTGAGGGTTATGGGGACCAGAGTGCTCTGAAGCATTCTTAGCAGGGGTGGCAGGAGGAGACATAGTCAGATCTGAGGGAGGTGTGAGTGTTACAGTTGCAAGATCCTGACGAGGGACTGTGGGAGAAGGGCTCAGAAGAACTTCAGGACAGTTCCTCAGGGGCTGTGTGAGTGTGAAACCATCCTGAGGCGAGATTAGAAAAGAGGTAAGAATTTGGACCTGTATCAGTTGGCTGATATAATCAGCTGATATTGTGGGTGCAGATAGATTTATCAATATTAGCAAAATTCCCATCAATAATGCATATATAAGCTGCTTTTTTACATTGTAATAATGCAATAACACAAAAATATGTGAAGAGAACTGATGTAAAATTAGGATTAATTAACAGAAATCTACAAAACTGCTAAGCACAGTGGGAAGCTCCACCCCGCTACTACAATAGTAATGATATTTAAGAATATATGTTTCTGCTGTTTATTTGAGTTAAGAAATGTGACAACTGAGAACTGACAATCACATCTGACAAATCACAGTTAACAACATACAATCATATCAGTCAATAAAGCACTGCCTATAACTACATGAACATATATGATAGATAATCATTACAATGATTATCTGATTTTTTACACCCTTAAAATGAGTATTCGTGAAAAACACCAATTTCAATTTCCAGTTTCACACTGCTCAGGTCATAGTAGGTGCACATCATCCAACAGGGTAACTCCTCTGAACATACAGAAGTAAAAGAAAAACAAAAAAAAACCAAAAAAAAACCTGGTACCTCTGGTACTGGTGGATAACTGCTAATATTGGTAGATGTATTTTATATAGTCACATATTAAATAGATTCATACAGTTTTAAGCAGTGCTTTACTGACTGATATGACTCACTTGTCAACTATGAATTGTCAAATGTGATTATCAGCAAAGAACTGCCCATAAGTATACAGGTACATCCGACAGGTTAACTCATTTAAACATGTAAAAGGAACAAAAAACCCCAAAAGAACTGGTACCTCATTGTGGCTCTGTGTCTGTCCTGGGCTGGCATGACCTCTCCCTGAAGCACAGCATCTATCAGCTCCGCTCTCCTCTTGGACGCTAACAATCTCCCACGGTGACCCTTTTCTTCTTCTCTTTAGTTTAATCTTTAGTGAGATCTGTGTGTCTTCCTGCTGTTTGAATGCAGAACCACTTCGGAAACCAAGTTTTTCAACAAGTTTACGAAAATCTTTCCCTCCAACTTCTTTAACTCTTCCCAAAACACTGGAGTTTAAAAGATCTGACTGATCCCCTTCAACATTCAGTTTTTGTCTCTCACAGATTTTTCTCACCTGGCCTATATTCTGTGGAATCTTTCTCCTTTTGTTTTTCACTTGTATTTGCTGGCAACATTGGGAGTGGACAGGATTCAGTGCCTCACTGACATTGGAGGAACTAGTAATATCTTTCATTAAGTGAAGTCCAATAGCTGAACTACTAGTACTGTATTCACTAGGCACAGAAACTAAATTGTCAGGCCTGGTTAAAGACGGTTCAGACGCCAATACAGGGCAAACATCTGCAAAGTAAGCATAAGGACCGTCTGTTTGAGTCTCTGCATGCGTAAAACTTTCCCTTCGCACCAGGATCTGTACATCTGCATCTTTCTTTTCTCTTTCTGTTTGCAGTCCAATTTCCTGGCATCTCACAGCTTTGTCCTGCTGCCCATTCATATGTTCTTTCAACCCATCTATCAAGTCACTGAAGCCAAGCCTGTGAGCAATGTCAATAACCTCCTCCTGTTCGCCAGGCCCCTCCCCTTCCATCTCCCCAGAGTACAAGAAGCCAACTAGCATCAGCAGGGCACGAGCGTGTACTGTCTGGAGGCTGACGAGTCTGCTATGCCCCACTGGAACTGAAGAGGAGTTGGTGAGGGCTCTTGAAAAAACTGGGCTGAGGGCAGATAACACACAGCTATGTGCAGGAACAGAAACACCTAAGAGTGAAAGAGCATAGTAAAGTGGAATGAACGGAAAGAGAACATGGAATACGGAAATGTCTCTATAAACAAGCCAGGACACGTAAACAACTTCTTACTGTTCAGAAACTCTTTAAGATATAACTTAAGGGGAATTCCACCAGTAATGTAAGCATACTTTTTAATTTATAAGATGTAAACAATATTCTGATTGGCTTGATGTGAAGTGCTCTGTTCTAGAGAAACGTACCACGTCAGAATTGTTCACAAGGAATCAGACGTCTGAAGCATTTAATGCTTGTTAAAGCTACCTCACAAATTACATTACATGAAATGGTTATGAATATGCCGCCTCATATCTGAGATATCTCTTGCAAGGTGTTGTAAGGCAAAATAGCCCCAAAGGAAACAGAAATCAGATTTACCAACATTACATATAAAACCTCAGAAAACACACGTATAACGTTGAGACCCCTAGTTCCTATTATCACCACATCAAACCACCGTTTCAGCAATTGAATTACACAAACTTTATGAAATCAGTTGAATTCCCCTTTAAGTTTACCACAATTCAGAGACATTAAGAAACAATAATATCAAGTTTTACAAACCAGTACATTCAACTTATGGTGTTAATTTGCTACACCAGGCACACACGATACAATTTCGAGTCTGATTTTAACAATGATTTGCCCCATCCAGCAAATGTTCACATTTGGAAGAGCATTTCCACGTCAAGTTTGGCCAGAAGTGATTGATGGAACGGACTATCCGGTACGGTGAAAGAAGAAATGAGTCGACAGTTAGCCATCCTATGTAGTCCCAGTGTGATTAAAAGCCTTCCAGTACTTTCAAACATTTGATTTTTACAACTGAAAATGTTTTGAGTCCTGTAGTGTGATGATCATTGATGTAACTAAACTAGTGATTGAGGCAACAGCCAATGAGAGTGCTTGGAGAGAGGGAGAAAAAGTGTGCAAGTGCAAAACGTATGCACTTGCACATTTCAAATGTAAATGTTTGAGTGCATCTATAGCTTTTAGGCCTTTGAACCAGATTATTTGAATCAACATTACTCACCATACAATTCCCTCTGCAGAACAGAATGATTTCTGCGATTCCCAGGCCCGCAGTCAGGCAGTTTGTGCTCTTGCATAAAAGCACAATCCCTTTTCCTTTCTACCATCTTTGCAGTTAAAGAGGAATTCCATCAATTTTCCAACATGTTTGCATAATTCAGTCCTTAACATGTAAACAAAGTCATTCAGAGTGGTTTTGTGTGAAATGCGCTGTTCTAGAGAAACTTCTTGCGTCAGAATTGTTCATGGTGGTGGTGATAGGAACCGGTCTGAGAAGTTCAATGCCTCTAAAAGCCCCTTCACAGAAAGTTATCACATGAAATGGTTATGAATACACTGCATGATGTCTGTTTGATGTTTTATGATAGTTTTGAGAAAAGCTTTTGACTTAAAATGTATTTCTGAAAATCCATTCATGGTGAAAAGGTACATACTGGGTGCTGTAGGCAAAGAAAAATCTTTTTTTTTTTTTTTCAGACTTACCCCATTTTAGTTTTTCCATAATCAACATTATATATAAAAACTCAGTGGTTTACTAGTGGTTTTGCATAATGAATAAAATGTCTGTATCTGTGCTGTAGACACTGTGACTCCTCATTACTATTACCATCACTAAAAAGACATCTGAGTCAGATAGTTTGAATGACCACTTTGAATGATTTTGTTTACTTTTCAACTACCGAACTATGCAGAAATTAAAAAAAACAAACAAACTGGAAATTCCCTTTAAACTCATGGGTTCCCATGGGAGCCCACACTGCACACACTTGTGTATTGCCTAATTTAGCACACCTGGTTCAACGCATGAACTAACTGACAAGCTCAGGTGAGGTGTGTAGAGTAGGCAAAATACAAAAAGTGCATAACATGAAAATGATAAATGAAAATTCACTAGAATGCACAATCCCCAGTATGACTCAAATGTGAGCACAAATTTAACACAGAACAATCCTGACAGGAACTGGGCCTCGGCTGCCCTCAGACCTCACTCCCTTCTCCCTCTCACCCTCCGTCTGCAGCAGTGTGTCACAGTGTAGGCCGTTTCGCTGCTGTTTCTGCAGTTCATGAAGCAGGTGCAGGGCAAAGCCAGGCTGCCTGTACCGCCACATCCTGACAACTACAAGATAAACAGGAGAAACTCAGATTTAATTAAAACAGCTTTTAGAGCAGTAGAGGACGTGTTCAACAAAATCCAGAGTTACAGCTAACATTTTAAACCTTCACTACTAAACTGGACCAAACTAGCAAATGCATTACATCTGAATTGGCATATAAGTTTAACACAAAGACAGAGAAGTTGAACTGATGACATATTTCAAGTTCACAGATGATAACTTATTGCTAATGCAAGGGGTCAAACCCAGGTCCTATAGGGCTGACCTCAGGGCCAGCTTCCCTGTCTAAATTACCAATTTGACCAAACCTCACAAGTTTATGCTTAACTTAACAGTAACGAGAAACATTTGCCTTAGCGAAGTGAAAAATAAGAAAATGTGGAGGCCCAAATATCCTCAATACATCGACTGGAAACTGAAGCCCACGCATCTAGGTTATGAGGTTAGGTAGCTAGTAACGTTAACTAGCCTTAGCTTAAACAGAGCTACCGCTTAAAATGAGAGCATCTTAGGTTCTGTGCTCTTGATAAAGCTCGCTGCTTACCATGTCAAATGAACTCCAAAGTGAACCAAGTACCAGAGACAGACAGATAGACAGGTTAGCTAAAGAGAACAAAAGCTATCAAGAAAGCAACAGGTGGTGAGATAAGCTAAGAGGACGGCAACCCATTCAAACAACGCAGCGAGGCGCTCAACGGTGAGCGATTTAACCAGCCCTTTCACACTAACTTAACTACTGACTAACGCAACGTCCTTCAGTTTTATAGTAATCAGTGCTATTTAACAAAATTATTTTAGCAATCTTCCTGATTCCTGCTGCGTGACAATTTTTACAGAAATGCCTAAAAGCTTTTACTACACAACAGTAGCTGAGTTACCTAAATGTGTCTTAGAGTGGCCAAACCTTTCTGAACACCGAAGGAAGCTAGTTAGCGTCGCTAACCCGTTCAGTAATGAACTGCCGTTAGGTTAACGTGTTAGCGTGAGCCAAACTCCCTGTTATGGACTGACCTGTTACTCTGCCAGCAAAACATTAGTTTGCCTGTGTTACTGAATCGCCGTTTCCTCCTCTCTGACTTTTTTAGTAGTAATTTAGTCAGAGAACTACGGAGCCCTGCTGGTGACATCCTGCATAAACAAGAATAATGCGTGGCCACGACCTAGTAAGGCGTGGGAATGAGAGGGTTAAGTCGTGGCCACGACTTAGTAAAGCGTGGGAACGAGATCCTAATGCGTGGCCACGACTTAGTAAGCCGTGATCTCATTCCCACGCCTTACGAAGTCATGGCCACGCATTAGGATCTCGTTCCCACGCGTTAATAAGGCGTGGCCACGAATTATTTTTATTTATACAGGATGTCACCAGCGGGTCTCCGTAGAGAACAGGGCTGAGCTCGTTAACTTACATTTACATGGTGGCCGCTCGGCAGCGTCCATACCGCCTTCATAGCCCGAGGCGCTAGAGGGATTAATCAAAGATTTGGCAACCAGGACGATTTTTTAACGCCCAAAGTCGTCATGGTTTGTCTTTTCCTTTTCCAAAAACACGGGGATACTTTGAAGAGGTCGTAGATAGATCACAATAATCACTGTTAAGATGGTGATGGTAGAATCAAAGTACTTTGTATCTTAAACACCATCATGTAACAAAAAACATTTTCACTGTAGTTTGGCCTAAAACAGATCAATTTGCCTAAGAACCAGGAACTTGGAACGCATATCTATTGTTAGACTCATTTTAAACGTTTCAAATCCTGAAAACTTGAACCATTGCTCTCACAGCCTGCCAAAAGGACTCTTTAAACAAACACTGAATGTGCATCATGGCACAAACATGGAAGGCCTGCATGATTTTAGAAAGCGTGTCCAGGATTTGAGATGAGAGTCTGTTTTACGGATTTGCTACCCATACTGACCACCACCCACCACCTCACTTACATACTGCGTTGCAATCCATGGCTGGTACACACCCCCCCCCCATTTCTTTCGTTGGAGAAAATGACTTGCACAGTAACATCATAACACACGCAATACACGAAGTCCAACCTTTGAAAAAAAATCATCCTTTTATTAAAAACAGTATTGCTAAGTTACATGTTCAATCCATGAAAGAAAGGTGCAATGTTTAAGAGCCAAGGCAAAGAGATGAAATATTTATCACCAGAACGATCAGATTTTAGTCTTGCATATAAACTGTATGACAACTGACAATACATGACACATGAACGATTTGTTTTCTTGTTTTGTTTTTAATTAAAAGATATAAACTGTAAATGCATTTAATTAAAAATAAAACTGATTGCATATGCATTCACCCACAACAGCCCCAGAAACAAACAAAATTATTCCCAATCATAAAATATAAAAAAGGGAAAACAAAAAAACAACCAAGAGGAAAAAATAATTAAAATTAACAAATATTCTCTGGTATATATAGTTAAATGTGCTTTTATTTTTTCTTTATCTAAATATCAAGCTAGAATCAAAATCTGAGCTCTGCTTCAAATTTGCCTGTAATAGATGCAATTTTGCCATTTTAAGATATTATTTAAAAAGTCTTCTGCTTCCCTCAAGATCAATACTTCTTGCTTAAAAGCCATTATTGTTTTTAACTGGTCAGATAACTGTAGTGTCTCACGTAGAAGAAAAATGTTGGGGAGTGAAAGGTAAATCATACGTTTGGGGGAAAACTCCCAAAGAAAGCCAAGGTAAAAAAAAAAAAAACAAACAAAAAAAAAGCAACTTAACTCCTAGTGCTAGAGTATCCCATTCAGCAAATATCTACATCAGAAAATCACTGTGCATTTTGAATATGCAGTCTAATGCGCGAGCACTGAGCTCGTCGTGTAAAAAAAAAAACGCATCCTCAATATTCCATCATTCACTCCCAACACAAACAGGCACTGGGGGCAGAGGCTGAACAAAGGCCAAACCCTCTGACTCCTAAACCTAAGCATGTCTCCCATGTACTCTTCAGAATCCCAGACTCACGCTCATACATACAAGCCAAGTGGACCGATCAGCGAGCGAGGCACTCAGAGTAAGCAGGGTGGATTTGTTAGACGCCATCATATTTACACAAACATCTATATTCAGACAACAGGAAACACCAGAGAGCAAGAACTGGTCCAAGAGCTTAGCTCAGAGTGGCAGTGCAGCTGCAGGATCAGAGATTGCGCTGTTCATGCTCCTCGTACTCACCTCCTGATCCACTGATCCAAACAGAGCGCTCCCACTCTGAGGTGCTTTATGAGTATAGCACCAGCTCCGCTATTAACCCTGCCTAAGAAGGAATCTGAGGATCGGGATACAAGTGGTCATTTCCCAAATAACTCACTTGGATTGGATGAACCAATCCAAAAGAAAAGTTTCTTTGCAATGCCACCTTTAAGGGCACTCAATGCAGGGAAACAAAAACTGCAGTACATGTTTCTCTTCCTACAGTCAAACATTACCCCATGAGCTCTCTATCTAATTCACATCTCTACCACATTACCAGTCTCCCTAAAGAGTCAACAAATTACCACAACGACAAATGGGCTGCAAAAGCTGAACAAGGTATGTAGTGGTATCTGCTCAGAGAGTTGTGAGACGGTGGTTAAATTACAAAATGGCCCATATTCCCTTCCAAACACTTCTATGAGACATGATTGAAATATTGTATATACAAATTACTTTTTTCATATTATAACTCACACGACAGTGGTGCAATTTGGCATAAATGTTCATCACTGTCCATCGCAAAGCAAAAAGAAAGCCATTGTAAGCCTCGACCATTCTTACAGCTACATAAACTCGGAAGAAAAAAAGGGGGGATTGAGAGAGTTTCGAAAAGTATCAGTATTAAGTTCTACAATGAGGTCATTAGTGTTTAAAGATAACAAATAATAATAATGCAATGACATGTAGTGGTGGCAAGAATACCTACTGTACTGTGTTAACCTTAACCATTGTGTAGAGTTTTCAATAAATGAGGTCAAACATCACTGTAGTGGAAGGACTCAGGTTATAATGTAGAAATAAACCAATTGATCTCAACCATTTTTAAGAGGAACAACAAACATTGCATACTACGTAGTTCCACAAGAATAAAAACAAAGATGAGGAGGACATGAATGAATGGTAAAAACCCATTCAAGTTCTTCAGTGTTTTCAGTCTCTCTTGCGTTTCTTACTTAACATACATCCCAGGGAGAAAAAACATAATAAAAAAAATTAAAAATAAAAGAAAGGGTTGTATGGATTGAATGTACCAGAAGATGAAAAAAAGATTAACATAGTGTTTTGCCTCCTCAAGTAGTGGCCGTCATCAGTCTTTTGGATCTTAGAGAGAGAGAGAAGGAGAGAGAGAGAGAGAGAGAGAGAGAGAGAGAGAGAAGGGATAATGATGGAGGAAGAGATTCTTTGCGTTATTGATTAGTGGCTGTGGTCCCTTCATGATGAGATCAGATCAGAGGCTCAGCAGGGACAGTAGGCAGGAAGAGGGCGCTCGCCACGAGTAATGCACACTATCAGTTTTTCTGTGTAGAGAAACAAGACAAGAAAGAAATAAATACAGATTCTGATCTTTTGACACAAAGGGATAGACAACTCAAATGTGTGATTTCTAGATAAAAAGGCTGCCTTTTTAACTCTCTTACAGAGTACATGTACAGCAGATGCCTACCTGTTACAAGCTTCAGACTTGCAGAAAAAAAGAATGACTAAACTGAAATTAAATAAGTCACTATTTAACCCTTTTTCACAGAAGCCATAAAATGTAATTTCAGCCTATTTTGGAGGTCCCTCAGTTCAGCCTTCAAGTTTAACATTTTCAATTAAATTAGAACCTTTTTTTTAGAATTGTAATTTCATTACATTTTAAATAACACTATTTTATTTGATTTTATTAATAAAGATATCCGATACATCAATTTGGCTAGGCTGGGAGGCCTGCTGAAAGGGGTGGAAGTCCCAGGGAACATAAACATTTTTAATGTTGCACTGTATGACAATAAAATTTAATTATCTAATAAACATCCAGTTTGAAAGAAAAAAAAAGGAATAAAATAAAACATAAAAAAATAAAAAATAATAAAAAATAAAAAATAAAAAAATATATCGCTCATCAGACCTATCTGAGAACTGTCTGGACAGTCTGGGGCTCCTCCTACATCACTGAAGCAGAATTAAACAACAGCAAGTGAAAAGAAATGAGTAAAATACGCTTTTCATATGCAAGTCATGTTGTAGGATATCCCACTGTGCCCATGGTGATTCCTCCAACCAGTTACTATTTATCTTTAATACTGACATTCATTATTTATGTTCTATTCCTACAAACTATTATCTATATTTATGTGCTTTCTGTGCAGAACTATTATTAGCAGTAATATTCAGTACTACGACAAGTACTAGAGTTTAGGAAACCACCCCTTTTCTATCTATGAGCAGGAAGTGTAACTATGAAATTATTAGTTCTCGAAGTGACCTAATATAATGGTAATAAAGTGACTTGTCAATCCCTTTACGACACTGACTACACATACACAAAAAAAAAAAAACACTTCAATGATATTTAGTCACAAAACTTACGAAGGGCTTTTTGTGCATGTGCCATCATATGCACAAACCAACCCAGAGTTTCCAGGCCCACAATCAATGGGGAGAGGTTATGTGATTACACAAGTCATGTGGCCAAAGTGGACACATGAACAGCACACATATACAAAAACTACACTAAAAGAACAATCACAGAACTATACCGCATTGACAACAAAATCATATTAACAATAAATAATTACAGCAGCAGGGGTTAGGACCACACACACATACACTGTGAGAGCCCATGCAGTGAAGGAAGGAGGCAGTGGACACACATACCATGCTCGCTCATGCACTGAGTGGGGGGAGGGGGAGTGGCCTAACCGTCGTAAGAGTCCAGCAAGGGCATGGAGCCCCGCCTCTCCCCATACATCCCTCCCTGAGTGAGTACGTGAGAGAAAGAGAGAAAGGTGTTCAGAGGTGAAAAGGGGTCATCAGAGTCGAGAACATGTGAAAAAGAAGAGGAGAGAGAAGGTTGAGACGGTTAGTTGTAGTGAGAACGTTCATAAATCTACCTGCAATTACTGCTAGAAGCAAGTTACAAAAAGGCATAGTTAATGGAACATGCTGAGAGTCTGCTGTAGAAGTCTTAAAGTTTATGGACATTTAAAGAAAATTCCACAAGGACGTCCCGTTTGTTTGTGTGCATATGAGTGCGTGTATGCACATTAACATGCCTATGTGTAAAAGATTTTCACCTGAGCTGCATCACTGTCTGCAGGCTCTAGAGTGTCATCCAAAGTGTTCCTCCTTCCTCTCTGGTCCAGTGTAGTGTAAGCATCTGGCAAACAATGAAAGAACTGAATTAATACTCGCAACCAGTTTGATATAAAAATATAAATGCTGTCAATTTATTTCAGCTGTCATCAAGAAGTGGGAGATAAGTGTAAATGTGATTAAAAATCACCTGATCCCATGTCATTTAGCGGAATCATGTTTCTATCTCTGTCCTTTCCTCCTGAGGAAAAAAAAAAAACAACGTTATAAATGCATAAATAACAAAACAGCATATATTCATAAAGATATAATGGAAAAAGGGTAAAGAGCATGTTATGAACAAGTGAAAGCAGTAGATGGGCTGGTTAGTCTGGGAGTAAATGTCTCTTACCTCTGTCAATGAGTGGCAGGGTGCTGCTGTCCTCATAGCCGCCGTTGCTGCGAGTGTTACTGGGGGGATTGACACTAACCACAAAGTCAGATTTCTTCCAGCCATCTTTCTCCAGCGTGCGCCGAAGCTCCTTAAAACCCCACACAATCTGCAGCACCAGACCGGCCCCACGCACCTCCCGATCTGAGCGATTACTGTGGGACAGACAAACACAGACAAAGAACAGAAAAAGTTAACTTGTACAGATGCACACAATGAAAAATGCGAGCATACTAAGAGCAAAACAAGCACAAATTCTGGTACAGACATCCACTGACCCGTCCTTATTGATAAGCACTAGTCGCTCAATGCCCTGTGAGCTGCGGAGGGTTTTGGCAGCATCCAGACTGGAGCCTACTACCTCAGCCAGAGTGCTCAGCACTGACACCACTGTCTCCTCAGAGAGAGCACGCACAGGCTGGCTCTGACCACCACCTGGAAGGTTTGCCACCAGGTTCGGCACAGCATGTTTACCTGCGGAACAGAAAGAATTACTCTATGAGAACTATTTAGAAACATTTTGCTGCACAAGACTTAGTAACAATTGTTAAAGCAGAATGAGTGTTTTTAAATTTCACAAAGTGCAGATATTTCAAAACAGCATCTTCTATGCTGTAGTGATGCTCTTGAAGGCTCCATATTCCACAGTAGGGGTGGGAATCTCTAGGCACCTCACGATTCGATTACGATTCAGAGGGCTGCGATGCGATTATAAAACGATTGGCGATGCATCTCGATGCATCTTTTTTTTTTCTATGTAGCATTTATATTTTCTCACTGTGTGAGCTCAAGTTTCGAGTTCAAGTTTCAAGTTCATTTGTCATTTGCACATGTCAGGACATTTATGCATTGAAATGCTTGTGGTGAGGCTCAGGTAATCACTCTACAGTAAGTAAATAAATAAAAATACAAGAAAAACCAACGGAAATATGTTAAATATACACAAAATATACACAGAATATAGAGACAATATACTTTTTAAAGTGACTAAGTGACTGTGTTGTTATTTAAAGTGACTTGGTACTTTTAAAGCAAAGTATTTGTAATGATCCAAAATGAATTTACTTCTAATATCTTTTTTAATAAATCAAATGGAAGGTGATGTGGCAAGTGAACTAGAAGGCTCTCATTCAGTGCTCTTGTTTGGAGCACGAGAAGCTGCTGCTACTAATCTGCGATAAAATGCGCAGTTACGGTGAAATAAGATCCAGTGGCAGTGGATGTCCACGCAGCACATGTTACAGCTATTCTACCCATTTTCTTTAGTGATTTTATAACTTTGGTTTTGGTCTCGTTGTAGAGACGGGGGGGATTGCTGTGTCAGTAAAATGTCTTTGAGACGGGACGTGTGCAACATAGCGCGAAAGCCCCGTTTCGCAACGACTGAGAACTGGCGTGCAGACTGCAGGTCACACAGCAACGATGCGTTATTCACATTTATAAGCAGCGCAGTTGGTTTCCTGGTACGTTAAATCTGCAACGAGAGACTGTCAAACACTAAAAAAGTGGCGAAGCTGAAGTCACTTCTCTTCCGAATTCTCCCGTTCCACCTTAAATGGTGCCGCATTTACATTTGGCGCCTCAGTTAGAATTTAAGGTGGAACGGGTAAATTCGAACAAGAAGCTGGAGAATAAGAAGCGACTTCAGCCTCGTAAAACAGTCGAACGTTGAGAGACATTTAACTGATCAACTTCTGAGGAAAAGTTTCTCGAGGGAAAGGGGAGGATAGCGGCTATAGCTAAAGCTTAAAGCAGAGCAGAGCAAGTCCGCGTTTTCGTTTATATCGTTTAGCCTAAACTAGGACATTAACACATACTGAGACACACTGGACATTAAATGTTGCGGCTCCCAAGGTGGTTTGATTTTTGTTGAAAGGACAAATTGGCTCTTCTTAACATTTGTGTTGTGACTCCTGACCTAACCTGGCTTTTAATGCAGAGGGAGCCGCTCGGATTTCTCGCTCGTCCAGTGGTGTTTTTGTTATGTGCCGCCACAGACTGTCCAGGCGCTGCACTTCCGCACTTCCAAGTTCCGCCCTTTGCGTTCCGTCAACATTATGTTATAAATTAAAACGATTCAGAATCGTTCACGTCCGCATGACAATGCATCTAAGAATCGATTTTTTCCCGCACCCCTATTCCACAGTTTGACAATGTTTGCCAAAGGCATGATGTCTTTGATAGGCATTTACAATGCCACCAGAAGCCACCCCTCCCCTCAAATTCATCTCTCTCACAACAGTGTGAAAAAACACTACCAGAAATAGCCTGCTTGGTGAAATGAACTGTGAAGACTGTTATTCAGCACTGCAGTAAAATGAAAAAAAGCCTGGTGTGTTTAACCTTTACCACAGGGTCCCATGTAACCTAAGGCTTCATATTACAGTAGTTGCTTAAACGCATTTCCAACATCCTTCATACAGCACAGTTGTCGTATAGAGTGTTTTCTTTATATGCATACACAGATCACACACCTAGCAGTTCACGGTTGCGAGGGTCAATCGCCAGGTTTCGAAGTGCCCCAGACATAGCTCTGACCACACGGTCGTTCCCATGAGCTAGCAGCTCAGTCATCATGGGCAATCCTTTCTCCTGTCTCATGACCGCCCGTATGTAGCGTCCATACTGTGAGAGAGAGAGAAAAAAAGTTAAATACAGCAAAAATAGACAGAAGTGGCTATAATTAAAGTGCTTCACAGCAGCTGAATGGCAGTTAGCAGAGAATACTTACAGTCCAGCGGCCCGCACACAGGTTCTGTATGGCTCCTGCAGATGCTTCCAGAACAGAGGGATTCTTACTCTCCTTCAGCAGGGAAGTGTACACACGAACCACCTCAGGCTGGAATAGCAACTCATAACCTACAAACCAGAACAGTGATGAGTCACTAATTTGACTTTCCTTTATTACACTTGCCTTTGGGCTGCAAAGTAAAAATCATGGTGATGTTGTCAAATCAAAAGATTATTAAATGTCTTCTGTTTTTGTTCATTTTCATCATTCTTAACTTAATTCTTAAGTGCACACTTCATTTTTTTCTTCATTATACCATTAAAAAGTGTTCATTAATGCCACTATATAATGCCTCCATACCTTTGGCTGGCGTGGTCCTCTTTGGAATGTCAATCGTGTCTGAAGTTCCATCATCATCTTTCCTCCCTGAAATGACAGAACAAAAAAATAAGCAATGAAATATAATCCTTCAAAACACCCCAAAATCATAGCCAAATCAGGTTTCTCAAAGACAGAACTACCTTTTAACTACCCTTTATATTAAACAAATTTGAGAAAAATCCAGTGTACAAAATAAAATGTAAAAGGTTATAAACATACTAACTGTGCCAAACAATCACCATATGCTAGTGTGACTGCTCTAGCTGAGAAAACTAAAAGTAGAGTTCAGCTGTGAGGTGTGCTGTTATACACCCTGGTGCCCCCTTGAGGTCAGAATGAACATTACAGGCAATATTTGAAAAATAACAGATGGTGAATGTTGGTGTGTAAGACTGCTCCTTAGGAAAGCAAGTCAAGGTCCTAAAATGAATTTGAAAATGAGAAGCAAGAGCAGGGGAGCATTTAATCTAAAGAATTTGTTTCAAAATTCCCATTTCAAACTACATTAGCTAAGCCAGAGCAAAACATAACCAAACCAATAACAGAAGAGCTGATAGTGAGGCAAAAATGGCTGACTGTATATTAGTGATCTATGATAAGCAGGCAATGCTCACAAAAGGACAGGCTTACCTTTGGAAAACCACTCGTCTGTTTTGGGACCGAAAGAAGAAAGCAGGAGTGGAAGAGAAAAACAACATGGCAGGAGTGGAAAGACAGGGAAGAGAGTATTTCAGTAAAAGAAAATAGAGCAACAGTGCCCCAGCCACCAAAAGCAACAAGCTTGCATTCATAAACTTACACAAGAATCAAAAAACTAAATGCAAAGATTCAGCATCATTCTCATGCAGTAAGGTTTAAATTGACTATACTGCATCACAATTACAATGGAGTATGAAAAAAATGGAAAATGTAATCCACTTGAAGTAATCAAGATCATTTTATAGTAAGAGTTATTGAGTTTCATTACTCTCTCACACACACACACGCACACACACACACACACACACACACACACACACACACACACACACACACACACACACGCACACACCTTTGCCCTTGCGGGAACTGAAGCAGCCAGTCTTCTGATTGGCAGGGGTGGGGCCCTGGTTGACAGGTGTGGTCTCCTGGTAGCGCTCACAGCCTGGCACCTCCCGATGCACCTGATAGGACAAATTCCTCAACAGACAAACGCTGTTCTCTATCAGCTAAACAGAAGGAGATACAGAGATGAAAAGAGATTGGAAAATGAAATGAATAAAGTTTTAGACAAATACTACAAGCTCCCCAACTTTCTAGGGTATGTTTTTGCAAGAAAATGGAATTATATTATTTCTAACTGATATTACCTTGTTGTCCACATCTTTACAGTTAATCTGGGATTGGACAATGTACATGAGTGAATCAACCAGGCCGGAGCATTCTCTCAGCTTCCTTCTGGCCTCACTCCTCTCAGAGCTCACATTCCTGCAGAGATCAGGCAGCATGCATTAAAAGGTGGAAGGCAAAAACAATGACCTAAAAATGACCTAGAGCTGTTATAAGAGTAGATCTGGCTTTGAATGTAATTTTTGTAATATTTTTGCAACGTTGACAAGAGAAAAGTTGTGCAAATCAAGGCTACATGTGATAAAAAAAAAAATAAAATAAAATTCAGAACTAAATTTAATACACCATAACGGTTTCTGAAAACACTTCAAACACTTACATGTGCACAGAGTGGCATGCAGCAATGCCAAAGAAACCAACCACCGGTACATATTCACTCAAGTCTATCAAAAATAATATTGCTATCTGAAAAAGCACTGCTTTAAATGAACACCCTGAAACAAATAAAGTACAAATACAAAGACAGAGACAGAACACTGACAAAAAGATCAGTGGGAGGGAGCGAGACTCTTTTAGCTCTCTTTAGATGTAATCAGGGGGAAAACATTTCTGAGTGAACAGAGAGCTTTCTAAAGGCAAACAGGAGTGAAGGAGCATCTCAAAGAGAAGCACTCAAGAGAAATAAGTGGATTTAGAGATCACATTTCTCTTCTTTGTCCCTTCACAGTCCTATTAGAGAGCAGTTTCACACACATAGCTCTCACAGTACAACAAGCATTTCCCTTCCAACTTCCCCTCTTTCTTGCTTACAAGAAAGTAGCTTCCTCTCACATGTGCATGCGCGCACATACACACACATCCCTCTGCTTTCAATCTCGTACAGATGACCCTTTACCAACAAATCTCTACACCATAAAAAAATAAAAGCCCTCACACTAGTTCTCGCACTCTCCACCTTTACAATGTCTGTTGAATCCTGCAAGAACAGACTTACCCTCTACAGACAAACCCCATCCAATTTCACCATGTCCCTAAAAAACCCTTTTCACACAGTCTCGTTTACACAAGAATTCAACAGTAATTTACTGCAGTGGTAATGCAAGTCAGTCAAAATCCATGGAAGTTAGTCAGGACGAAAATGTGCACGATTCCCAGGAAATAACTGAGAGGGCTGAGAAGCAATAACTGGGGGGAAAAAAAAGGAGGATGTCTTGATGTCTGACACTTTCAGAGGTGAGTGATTCACAACACTGGTACAGTGAAATAAAAAGCCTAAAAATGAACAAGGAGATCGAGAGAAGTGTCTGGAAATTGTAGTTTATAAATCAACACAGTTTAAGTGAGGCTCGAACATACCAATGAAGGTATGCCAATTATATTTCAGATTTTGATTATATGTTTAGCTTGAGTACCTCAAGCAGCCAGCAGTGTTGGTAAGAGCCGTTTCCCACTCTAGGTGTCTAGGCTTGCAGCTCTCGTCTCCTCCTTCATTCCCTCTTTCCCAGCCTGAGTGTGGCACCATCACTTCGTCAGACAGCGCGTGTAGAGCATGGTCCACAATCTCCATCTTCACCGAGTCATGAGATGACAGGTTCCACAGTGTGCCTGGAAGAGGAAGAGGGACCCATCATTAACACTTCTGAGACTAACTATGAGCTTTGTTACCATATGGTGTGAGCATGTGCTTCTGTGTGTACCTGTGATGGTATCGGTGAGGTCCTGATCTCTGGTCTTTCTCAATAGCCTCACGAGTGCAGGGATTCCGTCACAGTTCTTAATGGCAATCTTGTTGTCAGGGTCTCGTCCATATGAAATGTTCTTCAGCGCTCCACAGGCTGCATGATGCACCTCCTTCTTTGGATTGTCCAACATAGATACCAGAGCAGGAATGCCCTTCAGACGCCTTACTTCTGACTTTACCTAGACGTAGAAAGGCAGAGAGAGTGAGCAAGGTGGTTAGAAACAAAAGAGCTTAGTTTAGTCCTTTTAATTTGAGCTGATGTGGGTGTGTACCTTATCATTTTTGAAGGTGAGATGTTGGAGGTAAGCAGCAGCATTGCTCTTGACTGGGTCTAGGCGGTAGTTGAGCATGGCAATGACCTCAGGCAATTCAGGCTGCCTCCATGATGTTGGGGCAGGGCCTTTCCGCAGGGTGCTGTCAAGTGATGCCATGCTACCCCTTTCTCCCTGAGCCAGAGGAGCTCCTCCCCCCCAGTAATACATATCCCCTGCTCCGCTCATATCCCCATCCAGAGTGCCTTCATAAGACCTGCACACGCACACACACGGAAATAAGTTAAAGCAAATGCCACACAGTGATAGAGGGGCTAAAAGAAACCATCTTTTAGCATGGATGTAACACAAATATACCTTTTTATTCCAAACAAACTTTTTTTTTAACAAAACTTTATTGCTCATTGTCACAGTGTCTCTCAAGTAAGACTTAACATGTATTAGCATATCACTACTTAACACTTAACATGTATTACCATTAACTGATCATTCAGGAATGTAAGCCAAAATTATTAAAATATGTGGCCAAGGAATCAGGTCTATACCCCATCACACACACACACATATACTCGGACTCACCCTGTCCTTCGTGGAGGTGGGGCATGGTGCGCTAGCCGGGGCATGGTGCTGTAGTGCATAGGCGGGCCCATGCCATAATCAGGGTCATCGTATCCCAGACTCCTTTGGTCATCTTCCAGGCCGTATGGCTCAGGGACAAAGCGCTGTAGCCCAGAGATCTCTAGAGCGCTGCCCATGCGCCCCACCTGTGGTTGGGCTGCATAAGGGTCTAGCTGGGGTCTGCTGTGGACACGATAACCGGCGTCCAGCGTGCGGTATCCATCCACAGGTCTGGAGGGAAGCAAACAAGGGGTCAACAGATTTTGCATTATTTAAAAGGTTTTCACTTGTCAAAATTTATATATATACATATATATATATATATATATATATATATATATATATATATATATATATATATATATATATATATATATATATTCTAAATACAAACAAAACTTCCAGATAAAAGCAACAGTCTAAAGATTACCACTCATCAGATTCAAGGCTATTTTACCTCATGCAAACAAAGACATGAAACTAAACATACACACACCTGTAGCGATCATCCATGCGTGCCCCTCGGTTGAGACTGGCATAGGTTTCTGAGGGTGGAGCACTACGGTAGTCATCGTATCCCCCAGGTGGTCCGTAGTGGTAGTTACGAGGGACAGTGGCAGTTGGGTAGTCCATATGCCCACCTGGTGGCCTATACAGGCGGTCTATTGGCGCATTATAACCACTCATACCAGTGACTGAACCAGTGCCATCTAGAGAGAGTGTGTCAGACACCGAGGGAATAACTGTACGGGTGGTGGTGGTCTTCGTCACTTTCTTGACCTGATACGAAAGAAATAATAAATGACTGTTCAATCACCTCAAGTCAGAACTTTGACGTCAAATAATAAACATGTAGAAAAAGAGGACAAAAGGATGACGATTTCTACATTTCCCTCTTACTAAATGACTAAAGCTGTGCTAAAGTTGTAGAATGCCACGAAGACACTAAAGTGGACATTAGAAGTGCTTACTGTAGTTTCTGTGCGGCGTGTGGTGCCATCCTCGCTAGTTTCAACGGAAATGACTGGTGACGTCTCCCGGGGGTCCTCCTCTACAGTGACAGTCTCAACAACATGACCTGGGTCCAACATCCTGTACTGTACGAGGCGCACACGCATGCACACACACACACACACACACACACACACACACACACACACACACACAAACAAAAGAACAATAGTGAGCAACAGCTATTTGCTATAAAATATTTCCTGTCTTACAAACACCATCTGGCCACAAAACACCAAAACGGAGAGGGGACTCATGCATACACACATGCCTACCTGTGTCCCGTTGATATATCCCTCGTTTAGTTTGAGTCTCTCTAATTCCGCATCACCAGGGATACGCCCGTTCTATAGACAAAGACAGAGACAGATGTATTGTATAAAAAAAGGTCTAAAACTTTCATTTTCTTGTGTGAGAAAATAACAATTGAAATCCATCTTCATTGGGAGGCATGACTGAAATTTGACTTATGGCAGCAAAAAATGCACAAACATGCAGGATAATGGTAGGGGCGTCACAGGGGCCGCGGATCAGGCGACTGAACTACTACAAACACTCAGAGTAACAGCAGGTTTCTGCAGGACGCTGGGAGAAAATGTCATGACGTCAGCTACACATACACACATTCACGCACACACATTAGATGGGGGAGCACAACTGAAAACCACACACATCTGCTTCTGTAAATTCAATGTATGAAGTGTATATGATGCTATAGTTAAAAAGATAAAATGAATCACTGAAAAGGGTTTGCAATGACAAGGAAGGGGAGGACAATGGCTTCCGGAAGAGCTCACTCATGCAACCACGCAGCAATGGCATGCAACACACACACAGAGCTCCATAAGGGATCCAGGCAGGGAAAGAGCACAGTACTCATTCCATCCCTCAGAGGGAGCCTTTGAGTCAGGCAGCAGGTCTAGGCAAGGTCCAGGCTTGTAAGAACCTGTCAGGCCCAGAGCTCGCTCGACATCTTCATATGCTTACAGCTATGTCAAAAGACGTAGAGAAGATAAGGCCGACGGTGGCATTCCAGACCAATGAACTACACGCACACTCTTTGTCTGTACAAAAAGGGCCAGAGTACAATGCACAAAGTCTCGGTGTATGTTACAGCGACAAGTATTAGGAGGACACACAAAAAAAAAAAGCCACACACCACAGTCAAATGTTGAGCCTTCATATAGACATGTGGTCATAAAGCAGAATAATCCAATCAAAAAAGTGGATTGTCATAAAAGGGAGTGGCAAGTATCATTTCAGGCTGAGTGAAGACAGATGAGCAGATTATAACTGTAAAATGTCTGCTTAATGTTGAGCAACTTCCGGCAAGGGTCAAAGCTCCTTCTCAGTGTGAGTAGACGATACTGACTGAACCAGTTTCTTATTTCTTCTCTGGCTTGTATCACAGAGCCATCAGGGCTTTTAGGGGTTTTCAAGCTGGCCATACTAGCCTCCTTTAACAAAGAGTGATTTGCCTGAACACGCTGCAGCAGCAAACTGGTATCAGGTTTATCTTCTACTGAGAGTACACCACAATTTAAAATCAAGTAAATGATTGTCTAACAGGCAAAAACTATACAGGAATGACTACTAACACCTAAAATGCCTTAAAGAGCACTTGCTCAAAAGTCTTCTCGTCTTATTGTAAAGAATATCATCTCAGTCAAGACACTCAAAGAAAGGTTTTACTGCTGTCAATCCAACAATTTGTACCCTGTGCTACCTGAGGTTTCAACCATATCAGGTTGTCCATTTGTCATGAACTTTTGATACAATGTAAATGGCAACTGGTATTTTGAAATTATGATAAATAAAAAAAAAAAATGTAATGACAAAAGTAAAGATACAAGGTTTGTTACAAGGCATAACTGAGGCAATGTAACAGAAGTAACAAAGGTTGTGAATCCCTTAGGGTCCAATAGACATTTAGCAGAAATAAAGTGTTTACAGGAACGTCTCATATCTCTTATTGCATTAAAACATCTCTTGTTCTACTAACATCTAGAATGATCATAGAAAATAGGAAAGTCTCTCTACTCAGTCACACTAACTGTTGGCAAAAGCATTCTAATATAAAATGAGATGCGAAGAAACATTTACAGGCCACACAAGCAGCTCCTGACGCCCGTCTGCCCTACTAACTGCAGAGCTTTACATCTTTATTTCTGACAGAATGAAAAATATGCAGGCCAAGCTCTCCTTTACACAAGATGGTACAAAAGGAACAATTAAAGTATTCTTAATTCAGGAATTCTATTCATCACCCTTTGTCAACATTTGTACAACTGATTGCATTCCCTCTAATGAGCAACAGTGTTTACTTACAACAGAACAGGACCACACTTTGCAAGGTATCATCTCATTAGCAAAAAGCAAAAATTTAATTGACCAATCTTAAAACACACATAAACGTAGCCATGTTATCACGAGTTTGCTTGAATTAGTGATGGCCAGTTTAAAAAGCAGGAGTTGGGCCAAGGCAGCGTCTTAAGTGAGCCACTTCCATTCAGCTCAGATGTTCAGACTTGATCGATTCACTTAAGACATACAAAGCATGCGTGAATACTGACAACACAACGAACAATGAAAGACAACAAGGACGAGCAACGTGTACGATGGTTGTGTAGAGGAGATGCAATAGCAGCATGCATGATGTCAAACAAAGCTGATTCCAGATATGTGATCCAATATTTTTCCTGGCAGAGGGTCATGATGCAGACGCAGCATTAAATGGTGATGTGGAAGGTTTAATGCAAGATGAACGAGAAAGCTTTGTGGTTGATGATGGCAAATGGGGAAGAGGATGCAAACGATGCAAATGAGATGGAGAAAAAAAAAATGTTACAAGATGAAAGAAACTTATGAGTCATCATGCACTGAAAGGGGATGATGTAAGGCATACAACGACACAGGATGATGTGGTCACCATAGATGATGACAGAAGGCAAATACACAGGGCAGGGAGGACGGCGTAGACTCATGAGGAGGATGAGAATGGGGTGGGACGGCACAATGACGTGTGACCCCTGCGGTCACATGAACTGTTGGAGGAGGTGTTACCTGCAGGGTGGGGAGTGGGCGGGGCAGAGTGCCCGAGGGCCCTACACTCCTCCTCTCCTCCTCCAGAGCTCGAGTCAGACGCTCAAACTGCATCTCCTGCTCACGCACGGAGGCCAAGAGAGACGCGGCATTCTCACACTGCTCCATACACACTGAGAGAGAAGAGAAAGCATTACACTACTGAATACACAGAGAAAGAGGGAGAGGGAGAACAACAGACATCCATCCATGCTCAGTGTTTGGGACACTAACACAGGCATATATAAGCCTTTATGAAAAAAGAAAACAGACTTGAAAGAAAGACATTCTAAACAAGGCACCACATCATAGACAATAAGGCTAACAGGCACACAATTACATTGCCAATTATAGCACAGGAACCTAATTTTCTTCAATGCATTATTAATGGAGAACTCAAACAGGATGGTTCCTCAGGGGTTCTATAAACAGGAAAATGGTTCTATATAGAACCATGAACACTCAAATTGCATCATGAAATCGTTCTTCAGATTGTTGAAAAAGGTGCTGTAGATGGTTTTGTTTCATCATAACAATAGCAGAACCCCTTAGGTGCAATACAGAACATCAGTACTTCAAGAACACTGACTGAAAACATGTTTCATTACAGAGAGAGCATAGTCCTGTTTCACTGGACTTGGTTCAGTGCAGTGTGCAAACTTAACAGTTTTTTCAATGTTGTACTACTGATCCTCTTTTTGTCTGATCAAACTTGGCAAATCTTAAAAAAAAAAAAAAATTACGTATCATGTTTGGAAAAATGGCTTGAAATTAACAAAGAAACAGCAGCTTGATGTAGTACATAAACACTAAGTTAACATATCGACTCACTCACTCACACTGAAGGTTGTAAGGAGTGTTTGAACTTGGACTGCTTTTTCAAAGCATCTGTACATCTTTATGGCACAGTGACCAAAACAGGCTGTTTAATTCCAACGGATAAAAGAATGGTTGATTGTTATGGTATAAATCCACACAAATGTGATAGGTGGACCTCAGGGAAAAAAATAAATACAAAAATAAATGCATAATATGGGTCTTTTACAGAAGTAGCTGCTACTGGGCTGTACAGCTTAGTTAGCAACTTGGTGCAATGTTTATCAAACTTCTTAACGCAAGAGTAAGATCAGTTTCGGTCTATTGTGTCCTAAAACATAACTGTAAGACAGTTGATTTAAGATAATACAAGTCTTAAGGTTAAATTGTCATGCTGCTGTGAGCTTAGGTTATGCTTTTGGGAAACCAAGCACAGAGTAGTCAGATAATAAAAGGTGGGAAAACAAAATTAGAAAGATAAGAAAACAGGGCTCCCAAACTGTGAATATAGAAGAGTGAGACAGGCACTGACAAAGCTTTCCAGATAAGAGTGATAACACTGCCAGCAAATGAACACATACGGACACACAGCACCATCGACAGGAAACCAAACTGGTTTCTGAGAGGATGATTAACATTTGTGTGAGAAAGACAGAGACAGAGAGAGCCATCATGTACAGGCAAGCATAATGAGCTCAGACACAATACAAAACCAGCCAAGGTTGTCTCATATCACAGAAGTAAGTTGTAAAAAAACTTCATATAAAATATATGTTCACTGTTAGCCAGTCTCCATTTGCTGGCCACTATAGCAATCCACTCACAACAGGAGCAGGTACACTTGCTGATAGTCCTGATTTCACCTGGTAATCACTGGTTAGATACCCCTCAGCATTATTCTTGGAAAAGCCTAACATGCAGCACTGTGTTAAAAGCCACGCAGCAGTAATGTGACTGCTGAACTCCTTAGCCGGCTTCATAGCATACTTTCACTTTCAACTACTCTCCTCAGGCTTTTGTGTTTGAGTTGTCAGAGCCCATCAACCAAGCTCATTCTCAACTAACCAGTCTAATAGCTGATGTCACTATAATCCAGGAGTTCATCAGTCAGAATCAAGCATCCACCCATGCTAGGGCTGGGCGATAAAACGATAACGATAAGTATCACGATATAACTTTTCCTCGATAGAGCGATAAGACAGGTTCGATAAATGTTCGATATAATACACCATTCTCACACTTCCACAATTTAGCGAAAGCCTTGGTGGCGTTTTCTACTGCAAGGAAAGCGACACTACTCTGCTGTCGCCAGGAGAGGGCGCACTTCCGAATTTTTCGACTTGATTAGAGCGATAGGGGGCCACGAGTAAAAAAGGGTCGCCAAATATACTTTAGCAACAGCTGAAACGTGGAGTTATACAGTCCCTGTTTGAGTGGAGCGACCGGCGATCTGTTCTCCTGTGACCCAGTGTGAGTGACGAGGTCAGTGGCGTAACTGTAATGTCCTACGGTGAACTCGCCTCTTTCCGTGCATCCTAACAACTTTAGCGGGGTTAAATCACTTCTACAGCGCCGTGTTACAGCGCCAAACCGTCATATTTTAGTATTAATGCATTCTCGAGCAACGAAAGTGAAAGAAAGAAGTGGGTTCATGTTCGAAAGTAAACTGAGGAAGCTATGAGGCATTGGAGAGCGGGAGAGCGCTATCTTTCCAGGCTAGCTGTTTTTAGCTGCTGGCTAACTTGAAGCAGCGCTTCGGCACAACACGGAGAATTGATATGGTAGATCAAACAAGACACAAAATCACCGCTTTCAGTTTAAACATACCTAAAAGGAGGACTCTGTGACTGGTGTGAGAGATTCACACTGCAGATAATGCTTTTACACAGCGAACATCAGATATACTGCGGTTCACCCCTTAAACTACTACGATAGCATAGAGAAGTCCAGTCGTCGCTAGCTGGTGTCTGAATACTGTGATATGCTCTGACATGGATGTGGTAGGAGTGACAGCAGTGACCTACCGAACCGAGTTGACGTTGCTGAGAAACTAAAGAGTTTAGCACTGTTGTTGGCCACTTGTTTAGTATTTGTAACGGGGTAGCCGAGCGCTCGTCACCAGACAGCTAAAAATAATCTGTTTTCTTTCTTAAATCATGACTATTACAAAAATTGCAGCTATGCTTTTCCAGCTGATAAAAACAGCTCAGAAACTTTCTCCCACTGTCCCAAGAGAGATTAGTGAAATGTTCCACTGTTTGCCGAGTGTTTGTCATGATCGGACCATAAGTGATAGCTTAAAACCACAATTAACCACCCAGGAGCAAAATCAGCCTTCAAACGTGAAAGAAATCATGATTTGACATTTATCGCGATATGTATCGATATCGAACGATATGAATTTTGTTTATCGTGATAACGTTTTTGGCCATATCGCCCAGCTCTAACCCATGCCTTTCGTCAGTTTCTGAGAAGTGCTGACACACTGCTGCTTCAAAGAAACATGGTCTTATTTACTGAACTAAAACGTGTCTATAAATCAATTTTGCTTTGTAGCTATACTATATTTAAAGTTGCTCCCTTCCTTAAAAGATTAGCCAATGATTTGACCAAATTATGACAAAAGATGACTAGCAGCTAACAAGCTTACAACTTGTGATTTTTAATAAGGGTCATAGCTGATAACATGTATTTTTTTTGTATAATTACAATTAAAATATTTCAGCTAGTGAAAGAAAAGTCTGGTAATAATTAATAATCAGTATTTTTATTTAGGCTCCCACAGTGGAAAGTGAACCAATACATTTGTTTTGTGCCCCGAAGCTCAGGAACTGGAAAAGTAGTTTTAAGGAGAATTCTGCCATACCCTTCTAATAAATCACCTTGACAAAAACTGCTGATGGGAGCCAGCGAAGTATGATCATTATTAAAGTGCAATATGGCAGACATATTTCCACTTATTATTTTCCTTCCCTACATCAACCGTCTGAATGCTCCAATTCAATCTAATCTGCACATCAACAAACTTCCCATTCTTTTGGCTAAAAATTGGCTACAAGAATGACATGTACACTTCTTTACTTAAATTTCTCAAACTTCTTTATACTTTTTCCTTCTAGAGCCTGCTTTCATACATTTTACCATCAAGCATTTCATCAAAGCCAATTTCATGACCTACAAGACAGGGGTATTATTTCAAGACTAGTGAGGTTTGAGAATTCTGATACCACCCAGCCTTAATGAACCTCAACATACCAGCAGCCAAACAAAACTGCTAGTGGTATGGGTGTGCCCAGTTTGAAATACAGGGTCGCAAAGCACCATTTCATCCACATGTTCTACCACAATGGCTGCACTTTGAACCCTGCATTGTAAGTATATTTATTCTGTGGCATTTTGACGTTCCACTTCTTAACGTGAGAAGAGAGGTTTATAAATAAATGACTATGCTGATCTGCAGTTGCTCATTAGCACCAGTTAGCTGAAAGGAGTAGGGAACTGCTGGGTGTGAACAGCAGGTGAGAAGAAGCTGCTATCCTGTGGAGCTCTATTCTGGGTGCAAAACCCTACATAGCAAAGCTTCCCAAACCAAGAGAACAAAACTTAAGAAACAGATTTACAACGGTTTTATGAAATTTTGAAATTTAGAATATAAAATGCATGACAAACTATAATAAAGTTAATATATCTATTAACATTTGGGGTTTAATAAAAATATAGCAACAGTAAGCTAGTATTTAAATGTATTTACAGGACTGCAAATATAACTGGTTACACAGGGTATTACAGCATTTCTCTTGCACCAAAAATGAAATTTACCAATGCCTTGGTGCCACTTGAAACCTGATAACTAGATGGTCCTTTAAGAACTCACAACCATTAAATGTATTCACTAATGGTACATCAGCACCACGGCTGGCAGACTGTATAGTGCAATATTTCTCTTATAGCGAGTGATTCCAAAGGCAGCTCCTGAAGCAAATAACATTAAAAATCGAGAAACCACTTGACTACATGCCAAGGTTAAGTCTAAAAACAGAACATGCTATTTCAGATTGTTACATCCGGACTAAAGCCTTGCTACCAGTAAAAGGTGAGAATGACAAGGTTTCCTTTCAACTCGACAAACGCAGCACAAAGAAATACATCCATGTGCTGCTTTTATTCTTGCTAACAAACCTTTCCCAGAACTACACAAGCCAAACCATATCTTTCAAAGTTTGAGCCTACTGCCTATAACAAACTAATAGTAATAACATCCCGGGATTGATATAAACCGTGCACAACATGATCAAAAATCTGTTTGGGATACCTTTGG